AGAAAAGTATCCTAAGAGTCATGAAGGGGTCGAAGGAAGTCTTGAGAGGCGTGAAGAAACAAGGCTTGTATAACTTGAGGCTGAGGTTGTAAGTGGTTCGATAAATGTTGCATCCACGAAATCTATGTCGAAGACAGAATTATGGCACATGAGATTGGGCCATGTCAGCGAAAGAGGCTTGGTCGAATTTGGGAAGCAGAACCTGCTAGGAGGTGACAAAGTCGAAAAGTTAGAATTTTGTGAATCTTGTGTATTTGGTAAATCCTGTAGGGCGAAGTTTAACAAAGGCAAGAAAAGAACACATGGATCCCTGGATTACATTCATGCTGATCTTTGGGGGCCTGCAAGGAATCCTTCACACTCAGGTGCAAGGTATTTTCTATCCATCGTTGATGACTATTCCAGAAAGCTATGGGTATTCATTCAGAAGACGAAGGATGAAACTTTTGAGAATTTCAAAAGTTGGAAGATTCTAGTCGAAACTCAAACTGGCAGAAAGGTTAAGAGGTTGAGAACCGATAATGGCCTTGAATTCTGCAACGAAGCTTTCGACAGTTACTGTGTTGGGTATGGGATTGCAAGGCATAATACTGTAACAGGTACTCCTCAACAAAATGGCTTAGCTGAGAGATTCAATCGAATAATCGTTGAAAGGGTTAGATGCATGTTGGTTAGTGCTGGATTGAAGAAGGTGTTTTGGGCGGAAGCTGTTTCGACAGTAGCTTACCTGATAAATAGATGTCCCTCGACTGCCTTGGGAATGAAGACACTTGAAGAAGTTTGGTCGGGACATCCACCTAGTCTCGACAGACTGAGAGTATTTGGTTATGTGGCCTATGCTCATATTAGGCAAGACAAGGTCGAACCTAGAGTTCTGAAGTGCATGTTCATGGGATACCCTGAAGGAGTCAAAGCTTATAGGCTATGGTGCCTAGAGCCAGGTCACAGAAGGTGTATCACCAGTCGAGATGTAGTTTTCAATGAAGCAGAGATGGCTTTCAAGAAAACTGATGATGCTGACGAAGAGCTGGAACAGGGAGAGATTCCTGTTGAGGTGGAGCATGTTGATGCTGAATTGCTTACCCCAGATGAAGTCGAAGAAGACGCAGAAGATGCTATCGAAGATGAGGAGATTGATAATGACTACCTGCTAGCAAGAGACAGGTCGAGGAGAGTCATCAAGCCACCTCAGAGACTTGGGTATGCATATCTTATAGCTTATGCCTTAATCTCTGCTAGTGAGGTTCTAGATGAAGAACCTAGAGACTATAAGGAAGTTATGAGGAGTTGAAAGAAGACTGAATGGCTGAAGGCCATGGATGATGAGATGAAATCTCTTCATGATAACAACACCTGGGAACTGATCAAGAAACCTGTTGGAGCCAGGTTAGTCAGTTGTAAATGGATTTTAAGGTACATAAATGGGTCTATGAATAGAGTCCTAATTTATGGTGGAGCCTTGGGTGAAGATAGTAAAGCAGCAATCGAAGGATATGTCGACTCTGATTATGCAGGTTGTATGGATTCTAGAAAATCTATCTCTGGATATGTGTTCACTATGTTTGGGACAACAATTAGTTGGAAAGTAACACTTCAGAAGGTCGTTGCCTTATCAACCACTGAAGCGGAGTATATTGCCCTAACTGAAGCTGTGAAAGAAGCATTGTGGCTTGAAGGTTTTGCAAAGGAGTTAAAACTTCAAGGTTGAGTTATCACTATTAAATGTGATAGTCAAAGTGCAATACACCTGTCGAAGAATTCAACCTATCATGAGCGAACCAAGCACATTGATGTGAGGCTGCATTTCATCAGAGGGGTAATCGAGCGTGGAGAAGTCCAAGTGCTGAAGGTTTCGACAGATCAAAATGCTGCTGATATGATCACCAAGACGTTGCCCAGTTGCAAGTTTTTCCACTGTATACAGTTAATAAAGCTGCATGAAGAAAGCTAGTTTCTTGATGTTATAGAGTTAGATCCAAGGTGGAGATTTGTGAGATGTTGGATCGAACTCTAGTGTTGTCCAAGTTTGTTCGCAAGTAATGCATGTTGTAGTCGAAGTTTGTTCTAACATGCATTAGTAAATATTGCTAGGGTTGTTAGTATGTTGAATTGGGCCTTGCTTGTAAGCCCAATTGTTTAAGTTAGCTTGTACCCTAAGTTAGCTTGTAATGGGTAATTGTTAAAAAGCCCATTAGGTTAGTGTGCTATTTTATTATAAATAGGATGCTAATTTCTCAATCTTGATAAAAGGAAAAATAGGAAGATAAAATCCTAATTTCAAGGGAGAGAGGTTATTTTGTTATTCTTGTATACTTGTAATCTTGTTCTAAGAGAAAGAAAAGAATAGCAGTTTAATAACCAATCCTTGTTGTTCCTTGTTGTTTTACCTTGTTTTCTTTGTTAACCCTAACCCTTGTGTGTTTCTTGATTATTAAGAAACCGTTTATACTTTGCTTAAAGGTATCCGATTCACAACAGAAACTAATGAAATTGTGAAATACAAAGTTCGACTTGTCACTCAGAGATTTTTGCAAAGACCTGTTATTGATTTTGATGAAACATATTCACCTGTAGTGAATACAAGTACTTTTCGATATTTAATATGTATTTTAGCACATTAATGACTTAATTTGCAAATGATGGATGTTGTAATAACTTATTTGTCTGTCCTGTCTGATAATGACATTTATAAGAAACTCATTGAAGGGTTTAATATTCCTGAGGCACATAAGTTTGGATCTTAAGAAAGCTACTCCATCAAATTGAATAAGTCTCTCAATGAGCTAAAATAATTTGGCGCTTGTGGTATAATTGAGTCAATAAATATTTGCTAATGAAGGGATTTACAAATAATTTCATCTGTCCTTGTATTTTTATAAAAAGATCTGGAATTTTTTTCTATAATAGTTGTCTATGTGTATGACATAAATATTATTAGAACTCTTGAAAAACTTCCAAAAGCTATAAATTAGTTAAAGAAAGAGTTTGAGATGAAAGGCCTAGGGAAGAAAAAATTATGTTAGGTTTACAAATAAAGCATTTGGATAATGAAATATTTGTACATAATGAAAATTATATAGCAAAAGTGTTAAAACGCTTCTATATTGACAAATTTCATCCATTGTCTACTCAAATGGTTGTTAGATAATTGGATATGAATAAAGATCCTTTCAGACCTCGAGAAAAAGATATGAAGAATTACTTGGTTCTAAAGTACCATATTTTTTTTGTGGTTGAAGCATTAATGTATCTTGTTAATTATACATGTCTTGATATATTATTTATTGTCAACCTATTAGCAAGATACGATTCTTCACCTATACGAAGACATTGGAACATAGTCAAACATATACTTTGTTATCTTAGGGGTACAATGAACATGAGTTGTTTTATTACAAAGTATCCGAATTCAAATTAACAGGTTATATAGATGCATGTTATTTTTTTATTTGTCATGGTATAGCTATATCATAGAGATATGTGAAACAAAACCATAACAACTTCATCTAATCATGCAAAACTTTTAATATTACATGAGGCAAACCGAGAATATGTTTGGTTGAGATCAGTAATTCTACGCATACAACAGACTTGTAGTATGTCTTCCAAAAAATAAATATAACAATCATATTTACAATAAATGAAAGATAGTTATGAGACCAAATAAAATGCATTTCTCCGTAATTCTTTATCAATCTTAATTTTTAGAGTGATGATATTTGCATCTAACAATTTCTCCGTAATTCTTTATCAATCTTAATTTTCAAAAGAGTGATGATATTTACATCTAACAAATTTGTTCATGTGATAATCTTACGTACTTTTTCATTCAATCATTTCTAAATAAAACTTTTAATCAACTAATACAAAAGATTGATCTTAATCGTCAAAATAATAACTATTCAACTGAATGAGAGAAATAAATTTATCTTAAGAAGACATTATACTATTTTTACTTTACTAGATCTTTTCCTATTAAATTTTTTTAATAATGTTTTAACGAGATATAACTTAAACGAAAATTTAAGAGGAGTGTTACAAATAATGAAGATTAATTATAATTATTTTTTAATAATTTCCTTTCTTATTTTTTATCATTTGTATTGATTATATTATGAATAATTTATTATACTATCTGATTTAGATGTCCTATAATACTTGTCATATTTCTCTATAAACTTTAGTTCCCTTTCGCTTTATTTCATAACAATAAATTAGTACTATTTTAGTTAGAAACCAATAATTATACATTAGTTTAATAGATTGATGAGAATTTATTATATTAATGTTGTATGATAATAATTGCGGAATCAAATAAAAAAGATGAGAGAGAGAGACATTACTGTTACATTTGTGTAATATATTCCACATTTCTGCAATATATTCCATATTAATGTGCTGACAAATGACTCGTCATTTTGTCATTACATAACCTTTGCTCTATTTGTTTTCTATTTGCCTATATCACACACTTGCCACACTTGTTTTACTTTCTCACCATTTTTTCTTGCTCCAGCCCCTCCTCAAAACAAAGGTGTGTGATCCCCTTCTTCTTATGTTTCGTTTTGTTTTCTTTTTTCTTTATTGATTCCACGTTATTTCTAGCCGTATACGTTATACATATATACGTGTGATAAATTTGAATTGCTTTTGATTCTGTAATTACTCATCAACACCACACATCAAATCGGAAAAAAGAGCTGAAATTGAGTTAGGTATTGATCTATGTAGCACTCAACATGTGCGTGTCGTGTATGTGTCTGTGTTTCATAGATATTGATTGTGATTTGATCTGCATTTGATATGTGTTAATGTCGTGTATGTGTTTGTGTTTCATAAATAGTAATTGTGATTTGATCTTTGTCATGATACGTGTCAATGTCGTGTATGTGTATGTGTCTCATAGATATTAATTGTGATTTGACGATATTATAAAACTTTTTTAAATATTCAAATGAATTCATGTTGTTTAGTCAGTGTGTTTTACTCATATCAGGAAGATGGATTTGATAACTAATGTAAGCGAGTTTGAAGCAATTGCAAAACAAAAATTGCCAAAGATGATTTATGACTACTATGCATCAGGGGCAGAAGATGAATGGACATTGAAAGAGAACCGAAACGCATTCTCAAGGATTCTGTAATCAACTTTGTTTCCTAAAGCCTTTAGATTTAATCTTATGTGTTATTTTAAAGCCCTTATTTTAGTATCTATGTTTACCGAAAACAGGTTCAGGCCGCGAATTCTTAGGGATGTAAGCAAGATAGATTTGACAACAAATGTGTTAGGATTTGATATATCAATGCCTATCATGATTGCTCCTACAGCTATGCAAAAGATGGCTCACCCTGAAGGTATATAATGCCATTAAATTCATTGGTCTGTGTTACATTAAGCATATTATTTACATTGTATCATGTATTTTCTTGTTATATATAATTTAATGACAGTATTTTTGTGTAGGAGAATATGCTACTGCTAGGGCAGCATCAGCTGCTGGCACAATCATGGTGTGATTTCCATCATATTTGTTCTCAAACATCAACTATATTTTTTCCCTGTAAATATTTCCATCCTAATTAGTTTCATCTGAACGTTTTGTTGTTTTTTTTGTTACAGACACTATCCTCGTGGGCTACTTCCAGTGTTGAGGAGGTTGCTTCAACTGGACCTGGCATTCGGTTTTTCCAACTCTACGTGAGTATATTGGCCTCATTTCTTATTTCATGATTCTTTTTCCCTGTGATGTGTCTGTCACATGTCTCTCTTGTTGTTATTTTCTTTTATTCTCTTAGGTGCTTAAAGACAGAAATGTGGTTACTCAGCTTGTGAGAAGGGCTGAATCTGCCGGTTTCAAGGCAATTGCGCTTACAGTGGACACTCCAATTCTTGGTCGCAGGGAAGCTGATATTAAAAACAGGTTGAGAATCATTTGGACAATATTTCTGCAAAATTAAGATGTATATGCCAATGAATCTTTCTTGTACAGATTTACAATGCCACCACACCTTATCTTGAAAAACTATGAAGGGTTGGATCTTGGAAAGCTGGATAAGGTTTGTCTGTGATTAGTATGAATTCAGAAATTAGATAGCTTTTTCCATTCCTGGTCATCTTACTTTTTCCATTTTCGGTTTTTTAATCAATCGTTTAGAAGACTAATGATTCTGGTCTAGCATCTTATGTCGCTGGCCAAGTTGACCGGTCACTCAACTGGGAGGTAACTCACATCTTTCACATATGTATCTTCGATTTCCTTGCCTGCGACATTATTGTATATGGAAGTAATTCATACTATGGTAAACCTTATTGCAGGATGTGAAATGGCTTCAAACAATCACCTCATTGCCAATTTTAGTGAAGGGTGTAATTACTTCTGAAGATAGTAAGCTTCTTACAATAACAGTTATATTCTGATGTTATGCTTCCTTATCCATTTCATCTTTGTTCTTATCAATCTTGAATTTAATTCTGTAATTCTTTTCTAATAATGTAGCAAAGTTAGCTATACAAGCTGGAGTTTCTGGAATCATTGTTTCCAATCACGGTGCTCGCCAACTTGACTATGTACCTGCAACTATTACGGCTTTAGAAGAGGTACAAGTTTGTTTCCTTTTCACTTTTTGGTCCTAGTTTCCCAACTTTGTTAACATATCTCTTAGTTATATGGGGAGAAGCTACTTTATTGCTATCACATTATACGATTTTACTAAAGTTTTTGTTGCTTGCCTTGGTTAGGTTGTGAAAGCAGCAGGCGGAAAACTTCCAGTTTTTCTGGATGGTGGAGTCCGTAGAGGTACAGATGTTTTTAAAGCACTGGCTCTCGGAGCATCCGGTGTATTTGTAAGTATATGATATTTTTACAGCCAAATATAAAGGTAGCTTGCTCTACAGACATTTCTTGTGTTTATACATTTACCTTTGATCTTTTAATATATCAGATTGGAAGACCTGTGGTGTTCTCATTGGCTGCTAATGGCGAAGCTGGTGTAAGGAAAGCACTTGAGATTCTCCATGATGAGTTTCACCTAACTATGGCATTATGCGGTTGCCGCTCAATCAAGGAGATAACGCGTGATCATGTTGTCACAGAGTGGGACCGTCCAAGAATTGATCCTAGGTTATAAAATGACAGAACTACATGCATGAGTCTTCTGATAATAATAGGAATATTTTATCTCATGCTTCTATAGGAAACTTAGTTTTGCACTATAAGCCATGAGTGATCCATAAGAAACTTCTACTTTTATAATAATTAAAAACTTCTTTGTAAAATGCATTTAGACATGTGCTATTCGTAGCACAACTTGGATAACACTTGGGAATGCATTGTATGCACGTTTGAGATGATGCAAATGTGTGTATATTGGTTTTGTGATGTATTATTCATTATTACTACTAGTAATAAAGATGCTAATTTCATTAAATATATGTTAATCTCAATCAATTATCAATTACAAACTTTCTAGAGTCTTTGATTATGGATGTAGTTGTAGCAGAAATAATTCACATTGTGCACACTATCTGGATGGCCAGGAACTGCATCAGGTTCAACAACTCTCTGATATTTGTAAACACGCTGCCAAGTTAAAAGTCATGACATCTGTAGCCATGAGTGGCAAGTTGTCAAAGGTTGGAGGATCACGAAATCCCGAGTCATTTTTTGATTGTAGCAAGACATAAGCCAGAGGTGGAAATCACTCCAATTTTATGGACGACTCCTGAATCTCGCAGGATAAAAATGAGTAGCATTGGTTCTGCAATTGGTTCTCAATCTCGAGCCTCTTGTGGTGGTATTTATCAGAATCACTGTGCTACCTCTTTAGGTTGCTTTGCTTGCAACTTCTGTTTAGATAATGCTCTTAATGTTGAGCTCTGAGAAAAAGGTTGGAGCAAGGTTTGGATCAGAAGTGATTCCAAGACAGCTATTCTAGCTTTTGATAATACATCCATTTGCCTTGGAAGCTTAGAAACGGATGGGCTATTTGTCACTTTATGGGGGTCCATTTAATCCATGGAGAAGGGAAATTTTGTGTAGACAAACTTGTATGTCATGGCCATAACCTTACTAGGTCTATGGTGGAAAATCATTAGGAAATTTTTTGCAGTTCTGATTGTTCTCATATCTTTAATGCCACCCACTTTCTTATATAGGGAACCTCCTTCACATAGAATTATTATTACTGAGATCCATAATTGTCTTTAATTCTTTTTCATCTTACCAACAATTTTGTCCAACCATCCTTCATTCTTCATGATTTCCATTGACATTAACGATGTTTCTATTTATAATAAGCCTTTGAACATATGGTATTAAAGATGATGACCATCCATCATATGAAAAAATTTGTACATAAATATTCTAAATATTAGATGTAAATAGTAATTATTATTTTATTTTATTAGTACAAGAGTCATTAAGTAATAGGTTGAACTCCTTCTAAACAGCGGATTGAAGCATTTGGTCTTCCTTCCAAATATAAACTTGAAGCGGATGTTCCTCAATCTAAAAAGAGATTTTCTATGGCCTAAATCTCGATCCAAGATGAGCTTTTAAATAGGTTGAACTCACGAATCAAGATGAGATTTTAAACTAGACATATCTAAAACCAAAGCAAGCCTTTAACCATATTGATCTTACAAACTAAACGATGGTTTGTACCAAGATAAACACGAAAAAAAGTTGAGATTTTAAACAGGGTTGATCTCGAACCAAAGTAAGCTTTTACAAACTAAGCTTATGAACCGAAACAATGACTTAAGAAACAAGATCCCCAAACAAAGCTTTTAATGAGTTTGACTTTTGATCCCAAACAAACACTCTTAAAAATAAATTATTCAACCAAGAGAGAAACATTCCTTGGTGAATTTACACTAATGCCCTTTTTAGAATACAAACTTTCTCACCAAACACTGAGACTTTCTCGAAGCGCTATGACTAAACTAAAATGAGAAAAAATTACAAAAATATTTTAGAAATAGATGCAGAGAGAGAGAGAGAGAGGAGAGATGAGGAGGAGAGAGATGAGAGAGAGAGAGAGAGAGAGAGAGAGAGAGAGAGAGAGAGAGAGAGAGAGAGAGAGAGAGAGAGAGAGAGAGAGAGAGAGAGAGAGAGAGAGAGAGAGAGAGAGAGAGAGAGAGAGAGAGAGAGAGAGAGAGAGAGAGAGAGATTTTCTAACTAACTTTCTCAATTTGAAAATGTCTAAGATTAGTTACAAATACAACTTCATTTGAGTTTTTATACAAAGAATCAAATGAAACTCTAATTCAAATTCAAATATAAATTTAAATGCAAATGAAACTAATCTTGAATGTTAAATTACATTAACACCATCCCTTAATTCACATTCAAGTTAAAAATCCACAGCACCAATTTCATCCCTCAAATTTATGAAGTGTTCAATTTTGATTGCCTTGGTCATCACATCTGCAAATTACTTCTCAATGCTAACATGAATAAGCTTAAGTACTCCATTTTGAATCTGATTACGCAAAAAATGATACTTGATATCAATGTGCTTGCTATTCCATGCATCACTGGATTCTTAGCAAGATTTATAGAATATTTATTGTCAATCATCAACTTGACTGATTTGTTCACTTTGAATTTCAGTTCTTATAGAAAACTCATCAAGAAAACAACTTGACAAGCTGACAAAGAACCAACTATGTATTCAGCTTCATAGGTTAACATTGTAACCATTGGTTGCTTCTTGGAGAACCAAGAAATGGGGTCTCCCAGATACATGAACATGTATCCTGTAGTGCTTATTCTGTCTACTCTGTCTCCACACTAATCAGAGTTTGAATAGCATATCAAACATCATCTGAAACTCTAAATGGAAACAAAATTCCATACCTCAAAGTTCCTTTTACATACATCAAAATCCTAACTGCAACTTGGTAATGTGACCACTTTGGTTTACTCATACACCTACTCACTATTCTAACTTCATAACAGATGTCAGGTCTGGTGTTACACATATATCTCAGACAACCAACCAACTGTTTGAATGTTATAGCATTTACATCCTTGCCATCAGAATCGAAGTCCAACTTATGATATATCTCAGCAGATGTGACTGTTGACTTACAATTCAACAACTCAAATCTCTTCAGCAACTGAAGTTCATACTTCACTTTGTGCATAATAATTCCCTTCTCATAATGCAAAATCTTCATCCCTAGAAAATATACCATATTTCCAAGGTCAGCCATATCAAATACATTCATTAGCACCTTCTTGAACTTTTTTATCTCAGAAGTACAACTCCTTGTTAGAAGTATGTCAATCACATAAAGACACACCAGAATCGCATTACCATCAGAAGTACACTGCACATACACACCATATTCCATTTCACATTTTTTGAATCCCAAATGTTTGAAAAATGAATCTTTCTGACTCCAAGCCCTTAGAGTTTGTTTCATCCTGCACAAGGCTCTATGCAGCTTGTACCCCACCCCATGTTTGCTCTCTTTCAAAAATCTAGGAGGTTGTAACACATAAACTTCTTCTTGCAATTAACCATTTAGAAAAACTAATTTTACATCTAAATGTATCAGAGGCCAATCCCTATATGCAGCTATAGCAATAACCAACCTTATGGTTTAATGTCCAGTTACATGTGCAAACACTTTAAAGTAGTATAAACTAGACTTTTGTAGGAATCCTCTAGCTAGTAGCCTTACTTTATGCTTAGAAACTGAACCATTTGACTTTAGCTTTACCTTGAAAACCCATCTCACACTGATGTCTTTCTTGCTCTGAGGTAGAACAATCAAAAGTTCCACCTTCCGAGGTTGGACCACCTTCAGAAGTTGGATCACCTTCAGAGGTTGGGTTACCTTTAGAGTCAGATCCACTATCAGAGTCAAACTCACTTTCAGAGTTAGAGTCATCTTCATATTTAGACTCTCCTTCAGAGTCAGATTCTCCTTCAGAGGCAGAATCTCTTTTAGAGACAAAATCTCCTTCAGAGGTAGAATCAGACTCTAGTGTTGACACTGAGCTAGAGTTGGATTGGGACTTGCTACAATCCCATGTTTTTGATTCTTTCATTATGACATCTCTGTTGACTTTAACTTTGTTGGTGACTGGGCAATAAAGCTTATAAGCATATGTACTATGGTAACCTATAAGTAACATAACTTTGCTTATGTCGTCCAATTTTCTTCTAGTAGCATTTGGTATGTTTGTAACATATACAACCAAACACCTTGAAATGGATGACACTTTTCTTTGTTCTAGTCCATTTCTCAATAGGAACTACTTCCTTTAACCTATTTGTTGGACATCTGCTAAGCAAATATGCTGATGTGGCAATTGCTTCACCCCATAATTTCTTAGGTAGATTTTTCTTATTCAGCATGCTCATTGTCATGTCAAGCAGAGTTCTATTTCTCCTTTCACCAAGACCATTATGTTGTGGAGTGTATGGAGCAGTCACCTCAAGCTCAATTCCATGTTCCTCACAGAACTTCTTGAACTATGTTGAGTTGAACTCACCTTCACCATCAATTATGAGGATCTTCAATCTTTGTCCACTTTGATTTTCAGCCTTCACTTTGTACTTCTAAAACTCATCTTACATCTCATGTTTGAACTTAACGAGTGCTACTCATGTCATTCTTGTGAACTCATCCACAAATGACACAAATTACTTGTTCCCTTCAAGTGAAGGTATCTCAAATAGACCACATACATTAGAACGCATAACACTCAAAGCATGAGTTGATCTTGGAGGAATTTCTGATGAGAATGACAATCTTTGTTACTTTCCTTTCATGCATATATTACATGATTTCTCTGGTGCCACAATTTTAGGTATTCCATGTACCAAATTCTTTGAACTCATATGCCCTAAGCTTCTGTAGTTCAGATGCCCCAGTCTTTTATGCCACAACTCAATTTCTTCATCAACATTTCTCGCACTAAGACATTAAGTGTATGTTGTTGCAACATTCACCTTGAATGCTCTGTTTCTTGCCATTTTATACTGCATAATTAGCTATTGAATACAATTATACATCTTCAAGAGATTATCCTTCATGGTTACTGAAAAACCTTTTTCAATCAACTGACCTACACTCATCAGATTGTTATTCATGCCAGGAACATACCATA